GGGGGGGGGGGGTGTCGTGGCGGGGAGGTTGGTCTCGAGGCGGTGGTGTGCGATGGGGTGCAGGGTGGGGTTGGCTAGACCACTGGCAGGTCTGTTGCATTCGGATGCGGCGCGGATGTTGCTGAGAGCTGGGAATGATAAACTTTCTTGGCAGAGGTTTCTCATGTATGTTGTTGCTGCTGGTGAACTCTGGGTGCTGGCATGCGTAGGGTGAGGGTGCTAGTGTGGACCCCTTGCATTTCGAGGCATGCGCGCCGCGCACTTGGGAGTGGCGACGTCGCACTTGGGAGAGGCGGGCCCGCTGCACTGGGTTCCTGCACCAGGATTATTGCTGGGTACCCGCAAGTACGAGCACTCGTGGGCCCTGCCGTCCAACTGGAGCGGTGTCGTGCCCAAAGCCGCTCACTACAGAGTGGCGTGGATCAAGTTGTGGAAAGGACCACTTGATTTTGTAGCGATGAAAAGAAGGCAATCTACCATGCCAGGTCGTCTCCTGCTCGTATCACCTTCGTAACATCACCAGAGCGACTGATGACTTTGTCCTTTTGCGTGGCCCGAGGCTTGCACTTGTCATCACTCATGTTCATCACAAAATCGCAGATTAAATGAACCACTGACCACGTGGATCCTCGCAAGCACCAGCACCGCCGCCCCAGCGGGCTGTTGGCCCCGCCACTGCACTCAGCAGCCACTGCTTGTGCTGCGCTCTGCCGCAACAGCAGATCTGCTGTTGCGACTCTGTCAGCCGGCCTCCCACTTGCCTGACCAACAGGCATTGTACCGCAACAGCAACTCGAATCGCACTAACGCGAGGCTTAGAGCTTTGCCTCCTCAACTGCGTGCGGCGCTGCTAGTGATTAGCAGCAGCACCAGGGGCACGCAGGATGCGGTGCGTGCTGCAGCGCGTGGCTAGTGCATCTGTCGAGGTTGACGGCGCAATTGTTAGCAGCATAGGCCCTGGGATCTTGTGCCTAGTGGGAATTGCATCGGACGACACCAGCAAGTGAGGCTGACCGGGGATTCGGCCTGTGCCTGAATGCAAACACTGCCAAGCGGCTCTGCCGCCCGGGGAAGATCTTGCATCAGTGTCGCAGCCAGCTAGCCAGCAGTTTGCAGCAACGGCGTGCAGGTGCGCATGTGTGCTGTGTCTCTTGCCCTTAGGCTGGTGATCGTCGATGCCGCCACAGGGATGCCGAGTGGCTGGCCCGGAAGCTGCTGCGCTGCAAGGCCTTTCCAAACCCAGACGGCTCAAAAGCGTGGGACCGGGACGTGAGGGCCCGGGTTCAGCGGTTCTACTGCAAAACGTTGTATGCTGTATTGGCGTGCGCAATCAGCGCTTGCCGCACGGGACGGCAGCGGCGCACAGGAGGGCTGCGCAGTTGCTGCGGGCGGCGTCGCTGGCAGCCGGCAGCCCTGTGAATCGCCCTGCAGCAGCCGCCTTTCCAAGCGGGCGCGCCGCATATCTCAGCCTGCACGCCTGCCCGGGTTTTTCCCAAACGTCTCTTGCCTTGAAACGGCGGCGTGTGCAGGTGACGCAGCTGGGGGGCGAGGTGCTGCTGGTGTCGCAGTTCACGCTGCACGCGCGGTTCAAAAAGCCTCGGCCAGATTTCAGGTGCGCGTGTGCATATGTTTGTAAGTGTGTATGTGTGTGTGTGGATATTATTGTGTG